TGAAGCACAAAAGCCTAAGCAAATACAGTCTCCCAAATTTCCAATATTTTTATCCACGCTTTGACAAGAACAATTACATTTTTTCCATAGATGGTGTTGAAGAAGAGCTCTTTGTAACTGCTAGCAGAGTATTATGTAGAAACACAGCCCAGCACCAGCCAACCCCAGCTGTACAGGTCCTAGATGTCTCCGACAGGAGCCCAAACATGACTTGGTATTTGCATGCCTTTAATATCAAAATTTTATCCCCAAGTTATGTAAATATTTAAATGACATTTATGGACAGTATCTTTACTCGTGAGTTTACACTTTCCCACGGAAGACTTCCAGAGTGATTAACAATGCTGATCTTTATCCTTCACACTGACTATTCATTCATCCTTTCTGAAACGAATACTGCTTACATACGACCCAAGAGGGCTGTAACAAGGCAGTATTTATCTGCCCTAATAATCTACCGCCGCTGCTGTAATTAAAAGTTGGTTATATGGCATCCACTAAGGGAAGGAAACCCCTCCCATCACCCACCATCTTCACCTGACAGCTGTGCTTGGTGCACCTTTGCAGGAGCAAGCTTTGGATGTCCCACCACCTGCAGCTCACCCTCCCCAGCCCAGGTAGCTGTGGGCACAGTTATAAAAACCCGCTTCCTCGTGGAAGAAAATCAGAGTGAAAGTACAGAATCACAGAATCACAGAATCTTCTAGGTTGGAAGGGACCTTAAAGATCATCTTGTCCAACCGTCAACCTAACTGACAAAAATAGACACCCACACAACAAACAAGGAGCATCATCACTAAACCAGACCTCCCAGCACTACATCAACCCGTCTTTTGAACACCTCCAGGGATGGGGCCTCAACCCCCTCCCTGGGCAGCCCATTCCAATGTCTGATAACCCTTTCAGTGAAAAATGTTTTCCTAATATCCAGCCTGAACCTCCCCTGGCGCAACTTGAGGCCATTTCTTCTTGTCCTGTCACTTGTGACTTGGGAGAAGAGACCGACCCCCACCTCTCTACACCCTCCTTTCAGGGAGTTGTAGAGAGCAATAAGGTCTCCCCTCAGCCTCCTCTTCTCCAGGCTGAACACCCCCAGCTCCCTCAGCCTCTCCTCATAAGACTTATTCTCCAGACCCCTCACCATCTTTGTCGCCCTTCTCGCACAGAGGGGTTTGCAGCTTGGGGCCTTGAGTGAGTCACCAAGCACCTGCAGGGTGGTATCTACCCCAGTTCCTGAGCAGGGCAGCGCTGCTCCATCAGCACATGGGGTTTGGGGAGGGGAGGAGCCCGGGGAAGGTGAGCCAGATGCTGCAGGCACCTGTGAGAGACCTACGGAGAAGCCGTGGCAATTCAGAGATTGGGGGGTACCAGGATGGAGATGGAGGAACAGCAACCAAGGACATTTCAACTCCCTTCAGTAACTTTGCAGCCAGATTTTCAGGCTTCAGCTCCCTCATCAGCAAAGCGGGATTCCACGGGGCCTCCAAGAGCCCGCACAAGCGCACAGGGATTTCAAAGCGTAGCAAGTTTATTACTTGCTAGTTTTACACCAATGAGTGTGTACTGTTTGTCCTTTCTGTGTTTTAACCAACACAAGCAGTACCTGATGATACAAACTTATAGAAACACGGTGCTTTCCCAAGGAAGGAGCCATCCTGAACTTTGCTCACCCGAGCAGAAGGCTTTTGGCACTGTTACACACCGTACAAGCCTCATAGCATCCTTGGGATGCAGGGGTGGGCAGTGCCTGCAAGCCAGAGGCTGGACAACCAGGGCCTCATCCCACACGTCCTCCCTGCCCAGCAGCTGCCATTCATAGAATCATAGAATCATAGAACCATAGAATCATTGAGGTTGGAAGAGACCCTTGGGATCATCGAGTCCAACCATCTCCCCTACTCCACAAAGTCCTCCCCTACACCATGTCCCTCAGCACTGCATCTAAACGTCCCTTAAACACAGCCAGGGATGGTGACTCCACCCCCTCCCTGGGCAGCCTGTTCCAATGCCCGACCACTCTTTCGGTGAAAAATTCCTTCCTAATGTTCAATCTAAACCCACCCTGTTGGAGCTTGAAGCCGTTCCCTCTCGTTCTGTCACTAATTACCTGTGAGAAGAGACCAGCACCAACCTCTCTACAGTGTCCTTTCACGAAGTTGTAGAGAGTGATGAGGTCTCCCCTCAGCCTCCTCTTCCTCACACTAAACAGCCCCAACTCCCTCAGCCGCTCCTCATACGATTTGTTTTCCAGCCCCCTCACCAGCTCCGTTGCCCTCCTCTGCACTCGCTCCAGCACCTCCAGATCTCTCTTGGATTGAGGTGCCCAAAACTGGACACAATACTCCAGGTGTGGCCTCCCCAGTGCTGAGTACAGGGGCACAATCACCTCCCTACTTCTGCTGGTCACACTATTTTTGATACAAGCCAGGATGCCATTGGCTTTCTTGCCCCCCTGGGCACACGGCCGGCTCATATTCAGCCGTTTGTCAACTAGAACCCCCAGGTCTCTTTCCTCCAGGCAGCTCCAGCCACACTTCCCCCAGCCTGTAGCGCTGCAGGGGGTTGGTGTGGCCCAAGTGCAGGACCTGGCACTTGCCCTTGTTGAAACTCATTCCATTGGCATTGGCCCAGTGATCCAATCTATCTAGATCCTCTTGCAAAGCTTCCCTCTCCTCCTGGGAGTCACCACTCCTGCTTAACTTGGTGTCATCTGCAAACTTGCTGATGTTACACCCTATGTCCTCATTGAGATCATCAATAAAGACGTTAAACAGAAATGGTCCCAACACTGAGCCCTGAGGCACACCACTAGTGACCGGCCGCCAGCTGGACGTACATCCATTAGGCACAACTCTTTGGGACCTTCCAGTCAGCCAGTGCTGATTCAGCAGACACTCAAAACTCGGGAAGGGGGTGGTCTCAGCCCCAGTTTGGCACCCGGGTGCCAAGTCTGGTCCCCCAGGCTGCAACACCTCTGCCCTCCCGCCGCTGCTCCGGGGCTGAGCTCCCCCCGTGCCTTGTGCCCAAAATCTGCTCCGTTCTCAACACCTGGAAGCAGAGGCGTCCCTACATGAGCCTGGGTAATGCTATTTTGAAGGATTTATTGTTTCAATGAAGTGTTAGGCAATGTTTGCAAGCCTTCTTGCTCTATTCATCTTATTCCTACATTTTGCAGTTACAAATGGTACGGTGCTTTAAAACAAGCCCCTCTATTCTCCATCCTCATTCTTACTGGAAGGAAAAAGACTGTCCTGTTCCAGCCATTGAACTCTACAGCACTTCACCACCAGCATCAATGAGCTGATTAACAGATTTAACCCCTTTGTGTGCCCACGAAGCCCACGCTGCCCCAGGAAAGAGCGGTCCCTAACTCAATGCCACTGCACGAGACAAACTCAACTGCATTTCTCGTGGATTCCCCAGAATGGTACTTCTTAAAATATAAATTAACTCTAGATTGTCGAGCATTTCTTATTTAGGACTTGAAATCCAGTTGCCACTTTCTGATCAATGTAACTTTAATAGTAGGATAAATTTAGAGCTTAAGTTATCTCGTACCAGTTATTCGTATACAAGACATGATCTGAACCCAAATGCACATTCAGCTGCCCGGTGATGAGCCTTATGAGGAGCACAGTGCCTTAAAATGCAATGGATTACCTCTTTATTTTCCTCATTAGATGGCATTTCAGAAAAGAAACTGAACAAAAGATAGGTGAGCTTGCTGAGCGTCCTATCACACAACCTTTACTCATGTGAGCCATGTGTTGCCTTCAGATCAGCTTCTCATTCGGAAGTTGCAGATCCCCACTGCTGCCCTGAATATTGATTTTATGTTAATAAAAACCCATGTTGAAATACCGGTTAAAGGTAAAATTGCTCTTGTGCTTCAGGCCTGCAAGATGTTGTGCGTTCTGTACTCACTATGTTTTTTAAAATGAGGGCAGAAGACACTCATCCCTTACAGGAGATGCTCCATAGCCTGCAGAATCTGGCTGTTGCTAAATAAGTTAACACCTGAAATAATCACTTTTCCAGTAAGGGAAAGCACTTCTGCTATACTGAAGCTGGGCACTTCACAGATAAGTACATTTATCAGGGCAAAAATTTTAAAAATGTAAAATAAGAAACCCCAGGACTTGAAATTTCTACTTCTGTACTGTCTACCAGAAACATACAGGGTAACAAAGTACTTCCATTTACCTATCTTTAGCAGGGCTTGCTTCTGCAAACCCCCCTGACAGACACTGCTCCCACCACCGTGTAACCACAGCACAGACAGGCTTCACGGGGGCTACGGGGGATTTGCTTCTGGTTTCACACAGCACGCTTATTTTCTTGAAGTTTAATTTAATAAAATAAGAACTCCGGATAAAAGTTAATCGGGTATGTCCGCTAGGAAGGGGGGAAATATTTTCTGCCAAAATTTTATCTTCGCTCTTTCTCACTCTTTTTCTGCATTTGTTGCTTAATGGCTCAGTATCATTTCAGAGGCCATTCCTTTTACAAACGTAATCAACTCAAGCATTCAGCACCACGGATGATACATTGCTCTCCTTAAAGCCAAACCTCTGAGGGACAGATTAGAAAGAGAGGTTAAAGAGCTCTATCATTCAAAGCATTACAGCTCAGACACCTATAAATCACTGCGCTTGTTGATTTAGATAATTGCGTCCATTAGCGTGGGTAACGTCCGACCCACACAACTTTCTGGTGTGGCCGGTGGCCAGTTGGGTTTTTTTTATGTCCCCTCTTCGAAGCGCTAAAGAGAAATGAAATCTCCGAGGACAAATCTCTGCCCGCAACTCTCTTCGCGAGGCTTTGAAAAGCAGCCCCTGCTCCCCCCAAC